AGCAAAAAGTAGCTCGGTACTACAATGCCAGAGTAAAGAAGCGGAGCTTCCGCGTCGGCGACCTGGTTCTCCGTAAGATCATGGTACCCGAACCCAGCGTGGGCATACTTGGACCAAATTAGGAAGGGCCCTACAGAGTAAAGAGGACGCTCGGGGGGGCATACGAGCTCGAAACCTTAGAGGGTAAACAAGTACCCTGAGCGTGGAACATCGTCAACTTAAGGCGATACTACCTATAGACCACCAAGCGAAGTGGACAAAATCACTACCAGAGCCTAAGGGCTAGGGTGCCGAGCTAACGAAGGAACCTCAACATAGGCAAGCAAAGAAAAGTGTCAGCCAAAGGCGAACTCAGAGACTAAGTATTAACACCAAAACAGGCCGTGCGAGTGCAATAACCCGGGCAAGAAACAGATCGGGCGTATGGTCAATTCGGCAAATACGGTCAGTTCGGGAGAAAGAACAACCAACACTTAACCAAATGAAAAGTCATTCCATTTCAAAATAAGGGAGTGTACATTCCGAACAAAAAAAAAAAAAATTTACATTTCACAGGCCCGGAGCTACTTCTTCCTTATCGAAAGGCACTTCAATGATACCCGAAGGCCCTACCTCGCCCTCGGAATCTGGCTCACCATCAACAGCATTGGCCATCTCCTGAGTTATGCGCGAAGTGGATATGGCACTGATATCGAGCTCGGGGTACGTATTCCGGATCATCCACCGGCTTAGTTTAAAACCCCTTCTGTACGAGTCCACCATCAGGTCATCAAAGCGCGGCGAGGCGATGTACTCATCAACGACCTTCTTCTTGGCATCTTCGATGCCTTGAGAAAAGATCTGCGTCCTCTCCTTAATATCCTCCTGAAGGTACTCAACCTGATGTTGTAGATCCAGTCTCAGGTCCGCCATGTGCTTCACCACTACTCCCATGGCCTCGGCATCTCTCTGAGACCTCGCCTGCCTGGTCTGTGCAACGCGAGCAGCTGCCTTGGCAGCGCGAGCAGCCGCCTTGGCAGCTCGGGAAGTCGTCTCGGCAGCACAGAGAGCCTCTTCGGCAGCTCGCGCCTGCCTCGAGCTCCTTTCCACCTGGGCCGCCAAGGCATGGATAGAAGAGTTCACCTACCAAAAGGAAAGAACAAGTGATCAAAAGAACGACAGCAAGAGGGATAAAAGCAAAAGAGCTCGGCAAAAATCTGACTTACCACCATGGCATGAGTGACAGGACGACAGGCCACCAGGTTCAAAGGGAGGTCGGTCCACGCCACGACCTCCTCAGGGAAAATGGCCTCCCTACTCTTCTGAAGAGCATGGTTCGGCGACAACACACTCCTGAATTCCCCTTGGGCCCCCGAGCCTGAGGGCCCAGCTCGCGTATAAGCAGACCCAGAGTAAGCGGAGCACCAGAGTAAGCGGGAGCCCCCGTGTAAGTAGTCTCAGCATAAGGGGCCCCTGCCGCTTCTTGCATTGGAGGAGCCATCTCGGGCTCCCTGGGCGAATCCTCTGACAGGTAGTCTGGAGCCTTGGACTCCGCATCTCGGGGCAGCTCGGCACGAGTTCGTTTGGCGACTCGCTTCCTCTTCTTCATGCCTTGAAATAGGTGCCCACCTCGAGTCCTTTCTGAGTCCATCACACCTGCAAAAGGAGTTCGACATCAAAAAAAAGAAAAGAACAGAGCAAAGCAAAAAATCTCTGAGTAAGGAACCTACCCGAACTTAGGCCGGCCGCAATGAGCTTGGCCTCCGTCAGATACTGATGGCATTTTAGCCCAAGCC